TAAATCCGTATCAAGTAGTAGCTTTGAGCCTTATATATGTCGCCAGCTGCAAATGCAAATTTAGTTTTCCTCTGCCCTGTGACGGAGGCGAAGATAACGAGGCTCCTCCAGAATTTAAGTAATAACACAGCGGCCGAATCAGATGATATAAAAGCGGCTCCGATTAAGGCAATTACGCACTTTATAAGCTACCCTCTAGAACATATCCGTAACACATCGTTATTGACTGGTATATTTCCAGAAAAAATGAAACTTGCCAGTTTGCGTTATACATAAAGGTGGCCCACGCAATAATATAAATAACTGTAGGCCAATTTCTGTGCTACCTTTATTTTCAAAAATTCAAGAGCAGTAATCAACGTTAGGCTTTCTAGTTACCTTGAAAAAAATAACATAATTGTAAAGCAACAGTAAGGCTTTCAGAAAAACAAATCCACGGAAAAAGCCTTGCTATATATCAAAGATAAGCTAATTAATAGTTTTGAAAATCAATTATATACAGTAGGAATTTTTTTGGATTTTCGCAAGGCATTTGATTCGATTAAACGTGACATTCTTCCAAAAAAAGCTGACGCACTATGGCATAAGGGGCCTAACTTGGAACCTAATACATATTTATCTGGACGATCACAATATGTAAAAATCATTGAGTATGAATCGCAACTAATGAAAATAAATTATGGTGTGCTTCAGGGGTCAATTCTGGGACCACTACTTTTTTTTGTTGTACAACTTTATGCAGACGACACCAATGTGTTTTTTACTGATAAGGATGTTAGTGTAATAGAAGGTTTATCAAACATTTGGTTACGCGAACTTGCGCTGTGGCTAGAGTCTAGTCAAATAGAATTGAATATTAACAAAACAAAATATGTTATTTTCAAGCCTGTGCATAAGCAACTCTGTAGTAACTTCTCGGTACAATTTAGAAACTCAGAATTAGAAAGAGTGTCCTCCCTAAGATTTTTAGGTGTCTGGTTCGAAGAAACCTTAAGCTGGACAGATCGCATCAATCATATTCGCTCTAGCATATCCAGATCTATTAGAATCTTGTATAAACTTAAACATCTCCTTCCCTGTTGGCTTAAGTGCCAACTCTACTACAGTCTTGTGCAATCTCATTTATATTATTGCTTACTAGTTTGGGGAACTACAACAAAAACAAATCTAGACAGACTATTCGGCCTACAAAAAAAAAAAAAAGCTGTTCGTTGCATCGAAAACCTTCACTATACCGATCATTCAGCCCCATATTTTGTCAAGTATCGAATTTTAAATATCCATCAGCTCTTTCTTTTAAGACTAGCGATGATAATATACCGCGAGTACAGCAGTGACCAAAATTAATTTTGTGACACCTACCACCCTAAAACAACACAATATAATTTAAGACATGAAATATACACAAAGCCAAAAATACGGACGAATCATGGCTCCCAAGCTCTAGCGTATAAAATACCACAGCTTTTGGACGATCATCCAAGTGTTTTTGAATTAATGAGGAATGCTACTTCCCTTATTGACTTCAAAGGTAACATGAAACGTTATATTTTACAATAGGAAATTGCGTTTTGGTTATGCATTGGGTTGAATAGGGTATAATCAGCTCTGATCACCGTTATTTGTGTTAATTTGATTGAAAGCTCATTGCTTCCCCCTCCCCCCCCCTGCCAGTTTGTACTTTAATAATTCATTACTCTGTAGAAGGATTGTTTCGTTTTTCGTTTCGCGCAGTGACACATTGTTTGATAAGATATACTGTCGTTTTTACTTGTGTTCATTTCTAGTCTGTTTTGATTCTCTGCTGAGCAATGTACAGGGTGGTGGGGCCTCGTCAGGTAAATCTGTTTACCTTTTGCTCCTCCACCTGAGACTCAAGGAGTCCAAATAAAGTTTATTAAAGGCACTTATTTCCATCGATCTTACAACCGCGATTAATTCACTCAGAGAAATAACCAGATGACGTGTCGAAATAGTACGTCTTCACACAACGATACCGCCATTTTTTTGTTTTCAATTTCGGGTATGTACATTGAAGTCGGAAGTTTTGCTTACCTCGGAAAATGCAAGTACATGTACAGAGAGTTAACTTTAAGTAAAGTACATTTTTTATAAACAGTGGTACTTTAAGCACCATGTACATAGGGTACTTCTGAACACTGATTGTTTATTTTTTATTTATTTTTTTTTCCCCTAAGAACGTTGGGGGAATTATTACAGGTTTCTCGAACGATCTTTGAAGATCTGCATATTCTGAGTTTTGGGAGGAAAGGCAACGCAAAAATGTAATCTTTGCGTTGCCCTTTAGCACACGATTCTTCGAGTACAGCACAAACTACGGGAGCACCAGATGAGTTTCAGAGTAGGTGCTGCACTTTGTTGCCTCCTTGAGGATGCAGTGTGCACACCTCCTGTAGTGGGTGAGAGTTTCTATGTTGGGGAAAAGCGGGGACCGGCCCTTTCTTTAAATCGGTCAAGTCTCCTTGAGCTTCGGGACACAGGGAAACGCGTCTTCGGCGCTAATCCCGCAGTTACTTGGCCTCTCTTGCGTCGTGTCTGTTCGCTCCGCTCGCCTCGTAGCAGTGTTGTTGCAAGAGGTGGGGTGGGGTGGGGGGGGGGGGGGGGGGGGGGGGGGGGGTTGGCTTGTGAAAATGCTTCCCCCTCTGCAAATATCAGCTGATCTTCCAACATCGTATCTCCTTGTTGATATGCAAAACAACCACTGAAATTCGAAAGTAATTTGTAACTTGAGTAAGTCACTCAAAAAAAGTAATTAAAGTAAACTACTAATTACCGAAATAAAAATGTAATTTAAAGTTACTAAATTACTCAGAAAAGTAGTTAAACTACAGTAACTTGAGTACAGTAGTTGAACTACATAGAAGTCTGCTTTCATCCCATTCGCGGGCGTGTAGGCCAGCTGAAAGCGTCCATCAAGCTCTTGGAACTTCCTTTTTTGCGGAGAGTTTTTGTGAAACAGAGTTTCAAACAGTCTGCGAAACTGTTGTATCCCAAATATACGCCGTTTTAAAATAAGAAAGGCTGGATGAGTGATCATAAGTTTTCTCGTTGAAGTAAAATTCATACGTTCAAACTATTCAGCAGACTATAATATTTGACTACACGCTGTACACTACATCTTCCTGCCACACGTATCTAGCCACTGTTGTAGCACAATGAAACGATTTACAATGATGGAACACTCAAGGTTTCCTTTCTGCACACAGTAATCATTAGGAAGGGCTTAGCTCATCACTTGAATGCTTGTTTCTTTAAATTTTATGCCCAAAGTCAACACACAAATGTACATAGCATGCTAGGGTAAATGTCCCACATCTGTTACATAATATGGACATATTGAGCAATAAAGAAAGAACAAAAGAAACACGACCATGCAAACTCTGAGAGATTTACCATTTCACATTTCTGATTTTACAGTAGTTGACATTTCATTGTGTCCTTCATGGGTCCAGGTGCAAGCCATGAAATGCAGCTTCGAGCATAGAAAATTTGTGGGCGAGTTCGGGGGCATCTTGAAACGATGTCTCGGCCCAACAAAGGCTGCATATTTCAAAACCTCGTGAAGTCAACTGGCCGATTTCGGCACACTCTGATTGGCACATTTTCAGAGACATCAGATCGCCTGTCTTATGGGGGAAGAAAGAGGAGAGGGGCAGAAGCTTAGGTAAACACGTCTCAGTGATTCACGCGCCAGCCTTTAGCCACTTCGCAAATTTTTCTTAGCCAATAAGCATAAGAAAATCAAGAAACCGGCTGGAGGCCAGCGCGTGAATCACTGAGGCATGTGAAGTATTTCAATTTTTTCATTTAAGTCTTTCTCGCCACCCTACCTAGATGGCGCCACACTTCCACCATTGCGCCCGTGTTATCAGGGTTGCGTCCCCGTGGCGCCCAACCCCACGTTGTTGACCGTTAAAAGAGTCATGAAACGCTTTTCCAACTTTTTTCTGCTTAGCTTTCCTTCTCAACTCTTAAACCGCGCATTGTACCAAACAGTTCAAGAAGACGGAAAGGGGAGAGGAGTCCCCTTTGGCTTGGAATCTCGCTTGTGTAGCCGGACACAGCTATTGTCCCCCTAGAAGATTAGCCCGTCGCTCAAAATTCCGACTAGTAGCTTTCCCCACTTCGTTCACCCCGAAGCTGACAGTGCTGTTGAAGCTACGTGCTCGTTAGGCCAGCCGCACATCTTCCACGTGATCACGCTCTCTCGCGCATACCGACCCGCAGGGAATGAGGTCAGGTGATGAAAGGGAGGCGGCTGATTGGTCCGGCAAGCGCGTAGCTTCCACCGCAATGTCAGCTTAGGGGTAAAGGGATTTAGTGAGGTCCGGTGTCGTACGTGTGACGTGCGCTTGGGCCTGGTGACGCGCTGCGGGGCCCGGTTACGGTGGCTAGTAGCCCGGTGACGCGCTGCGGGGTCCGCGGATGTATCACAGTGGAAAGGCGGAGAGCTTACGAAGGGAAGGAGGTACGAAATAGTCCGCTATGTTTTGCAAATTTTCGTGGCGAAAGTCAGGCTTCTGACTTTCTACCTTTGTTTTTTTGGCCCACTGAATGATGTGCTATTAGTAAAATCCCAATATAAATTGATTTATTCTAGCCCAAAATTCGTTTCATGGGCCCTTTAAATAAAGAGTTACGATTCAACTACCGACCGCGTCGGACGTCTCTCTCTCTCCGTCCGGGGCTCCCGCGCCCGGCTCGCCGGTCACCTCTTCGGCATGTGAGAACCCTCGTTTTCTGCAGAACCACGCAGACCCTGCTCTTCTTTATTTTCTCGGGTGTCCGCATTTTCTTTTAATTACTACATTTTTGGCGACGAGGATTTTCTTTTAATTACAGCAGCATGCTTACCCAAGCCTGGTGCCCCCCCCCATCGGAAACCAGACGATGCGACGTCTACAAAGGCACTCCAACAAGAGTGCCGAAAGAGGCCCATCGACTTACTTTGCAAGGTTTTCCAATTATGTGTCCAGCCTTTAGAGACACTGTTTATTTGTGTGCTGCTTCATGTAATGGTCCTTCAGCGAACGCTTGAGAAGAAACGTCTCCGGGCACAGGTGACATGCGAACGGCCTCTGCTCCGGGTGCGTCTTGGCATGGCTTATCCAGCTGGACCTGTAGACAAACGTCCTGCCGCAGACTTTGCAAGCGAAGGGCCGCTCCCTAGTGTGCTTGCGCACGTGGTCCTTGACGTTTGTGAGGTTCTGGAACCGTGCGCCGCACACGTCGCACATGTAGGGCCTGGCGGTGAGATGCGACGGTGTGTGCGCTTCGAGCAGGGCCAGCTGGGGGAACTCCTCGTCGCACACGTGGCACTGCAGAAGCGAGTTCGTCTCAACATGGGCTCTGCGGTGGCGTATCAGGAAGTTCTCGTTCCGGGTCGTGTAGTCGCAGTCGTCACAGAGGAAGGTGTGGATCAGCTTCGGCGGCGTCGAGGTCTCATCTTCTTCGGCATTTTGTTTGTTGTCAGCTGGTCGAAGAAAAGAAGGGGTGGGGAGGTGAAGGTGGAATGAGCACGAGTGGGAGGCGGGACCTCTGCACAGCATCAAGTGGGGTGCTTTAATGCTGAACTCTGGCACGTCAGTGGTTACCCCGAGGCACATTGACATCAAGCACCTCGACGGGTAAATAATGCAAGCATAACTGACATGCAGTAGTGCATAAAACTTTGAGACTAGGGTGCAGGGAGGAGCAATATGAGATGGCCCAGCTGTGTTCCAGATGGGGTAACAGAAAAGTCATGCAGAAAACCCCAACTAAGATTAAAAAAAAAAGGTTTGAATAGACTGCCACTTTTTTTGTGGTCGCAATATGGCTCTCAATTTCATAGCTTAGCATGGCAGAGGCATCCCACGTGGCATTTCATCTCTTTCGGCTAGCAGTAGTCCGAGTCAATTCACATTACCACAGACATGTCTGTTGATACAAGGTTAACGAAGAAGTAGATGGAAGTATAGGGCAAATACAATTAGGCTTTGTTACTAGATTATTGGCTGGAACAGCAACCTGAAGTAGCTAGGTGTATATCTGTTTGCATATGTTAAACTATAGAAACTAAAACCATAGCAAACCAAAACGGCCCTGCTTGTAAGCTAGCCTGCATGACACACTGGGAAGGCAATTCTACAAGATGCAAGTTTCACTATAATGAAACTCAACCAAATGAGTGTGCAGGACAGCAGGTGCAGGTTTATAATGATCTACAGTACATAGGCGTAGACTAAGAAGGGGCATCGGGGCTCGTGCCCCCCCTGGTGAGATCCAGGGGGGGCAGAGCACCCCCCCCCCCGGGCCATAATTTACATCAAGATGCTGTTTACGTGGATTAGTGCTTCAGAAGCACAGGGGCCTGAGTTCTACGCCCACAACTTCGCAGCTGGTACAGGCATTTTGTTTTTCAGTTTTGCGCATGCGCCGTGGTACTGGCGAGGAACACACGGCTACGCTTGCACTGTGATTGACACTGACACAAAGCGACGAACACATGGCGATATACATACACTATAAAATGTGCCCCCTAAAATAAACTACTTATAATTGCTGGTGTAAATAAAAATTGCACGGAAAAGCACACCCCCCCCCCCCCCCCAGAGAACTTCTTAGCCTAGTGCCCCCCCCCCCCCTCCCCCTGGGAAAATGGAAAGTCTATGCGGCTGGTACAGTACAATCTCAATAAACGAAACCTGGACCAGGAACATCTGTTCCATTTATCAGGAGCTTCATTTACTGAAAGTGTATTGAGCGTAACTGCACTAAAAATGTTAAATGCCAGCTTAAATGCTGTTTCCACCAGTGCACAATTTGTAAACACCAGCTAGTGAATGAAGAAGGCAAAATAATTACAAAAACACCAAATTGCTGCTTTTGTATATTCACACCATTCGTGTAAAGAAGTTGAACCAATATTCATGTTCTCGATTTCCCTCTTTCCCTGCTCTCTCCAGGGTGTCTCTAAAAACAATCACTTACTGAGTAGAGAAAAATGAAGAGATATTGGTTTGTTTAAGATCTAGCAACCTCTTCTTTTCTCTCATCCTTGTCAGGCTACTTCTGAAAATGGCAGAGTACTTCATTGCAAGCGCCGTTTTCGTGAAGCAACCGCTATCAAAATCGGTAATGACCGACGTTTTTTTCTAATGTGAGCGCACGGAGTTGTTGCTTTGGTGCCGCCATCGCAGAAACTAGGCCACTAGGCCCAAGATGACAGCGGAACTTCTGTTGATCCACTCGTACCCAACACAGCCACCTATGCATCAAAAAAGGAGAAAAAAAAGAAAACATAAGAAATATTAAAAACATTTTTCATACTGCTTTATTATTGCAGAGTTGTTTTTCTTTCCTGCGATACCGAAAAATATCTGTTGGCGACATAGTTTCGTTCAGTTCCACTTACCCGAAGGCGCGAATATTTGAGTTCCGAATAACGCGAATATTTTTACATTGCATGAATACAAAAACAAACTCCGAGGTAGTAGTTTCGTTTAAACAACAATTCCACTTAAGCGATTTCCGTTTACCAAGATTCTAGCGTAAATTAATCCGAGATTCAGGTAGGAAACGAAAAATTAGAAGTGATAGAGGAAAAAAAGGAACAAATAACAGACTGAAAGACAGCAATGAGGTGTTGCTTGCCACCCTTTTCTTGTCTTTTCCTCTTGAATTTTCTATTTCCTACCATACACTTTCTGTGCTTGATGAAACTAATAAAGTAGCAAGCAACCCAGACATAAGAATGACAGGAGTCGCATGTAGGCTCGATCCGGGATGAAAGAAGTCCTGAGGACATATGAAATGTTCAACCACATATTGATATGTACTGTATAACCAAAGGTTCCCTGCTGCATTGCAACGAACTCCCCAATGTTGTGTGTTGTGGTATGTCCCCTTTTTACTTTTAAAGGGAAACTGAAGCGGTTCTGCATTTGAAAAGAAAAAACAAAAAACACTTAGTAAATTTTTTTTTTTTGCCCTTCAGGATTACGAATATAGAGATTACTTTTAAATTTGGTGCACGGAGGCTGAAGAAAATATCTTTTAAAGTACCATGAAGCCCCTCCTTCCCAGAGCATGATGTCATATACAGATGTCATATGCAGCGCCTATCAAAGCTATGTATGTGCAATCTTGCTATTTTTCAAAAGGTCAGAAAAAGACATCATGATTAGGGATGTCGCGAACCAGCCTAGGTTCGATTTCGAAAGGTTTCACTATTTTCGAAGAGAACTGAGGTTCGAATTTGAAAAATTTCGATATTTTCGTACCGACCAAGGTTCGAATTCGAAAAATTCTTAACTTTCGATCACAGTGGAGTTTAGAATTCGAAAAGTTCAAAGCTTTCACGGTTTCTAAAATTTCGGATTCGAATATTTTGAATATTTATTTACTTGAGGTTCGATAAATTCCAAGTTTTCAAACTTTCCTAAGTTGAAATTCGAGATATTCAAAAATTTCGAATTTCCTGGAATCTGAATTTCGAAAAATTTTAAGATTTCGAATTTTTTTGGATATGAAATTCGAATGCTTCGAATTTTTATAGACATAAAGTTCAAAAAATTCGAAGATTACAAACTTTTTCTAAATAAAGTTAGAAAAGTTAGAAGGTTTCAATTGTCTTTTACCGCTTAACTCAAAAAAAAAAAAAAAAAAAAAAAATGAAGATTTTTCATTTTTTTTTTAGGTCCAAGTTTTCAAAGTTGAAATCCGGCTTTCATGTTCCTCCACAGTTTCAGTTTCAAATAATGTTTTCACGAATCACTGGTTTAGAAAAGTTAGGGTCTGATATTTAGACTCCGCGAAGTTGGGTCAGGCAATTGAATTAGACGACGAGTGTCCCGGATGCGCTGGAATATTTGCCAGTGCAGAGTGACGTGTGACCATAGATCAGCAATTGTGACCGCCAGCCCCGGGGGGGGGGGGAGGGTCTTTAGCGTGCATCACACTGTAGTGATCACACAAACGCACTGTTTTACGATACTCATCCAGTCCAAACGGCCAGGGGCGAGCAGGAGGTTGAAGCTCAGAAAAGCCTTGAAGCGACCCTGGCAAACTACAAAAACTACAAAAACTACAAAAATAAACCTCCCTACCCCTTGCACGCTGGTAGTAATCCGATCGAACACCGCCCGAGTGACGCTGAAATATAGTAAATTAAGTTTGTAATTGTCCTGAAGGTTTATTTTCCAGGACGGAGAAAACGCCTCGCAAAAAGCACAGAAGCTGACACAACTCGAGGTCGAGGAGCATTCTACCAAATAAGTGGCGTTGGAAGAAGAAAAGCGGGGGAGGGGGGGGGGCTGCAGCCCCCCTTTCCCCCTTCCAGATATTTCGGACTGTTAAAGAAAACAATACCGGGAAAGAGGGCGGGGTCGAGCTTATTTTAATCTGAAATTATTTATGCATATCTATAACTACTGTCGCTCTTCACTGCACAAAAGATCGAGTAGATGGTCATTCTCGAAAACTCGTTGTCACAAGGCACTACTTGTCACATGCTTAGTTGTTCAGAAGTTCACAGCTATGTCTTTTTGACCTAAATAACTGTGCCGTTGATAAAAAAGATTAAAAAAATAAACATAACAATAAATGCGGGGATAAAAAGCTGGAGAAAAAAAAAAACTATCAAGAATTTGCCATTGTATTCTTGTATATTCAGAGGCTCAGAACTTCGAAACAAGTTTCTCCTACCAAAATGTGTACAGGCTAAAAGAAACACGTCCCAAGAACGTGAAGCGAAAAAACAAATGTTCATTTTTTAATGACGTGCTGAACTTGAACAATATGAGATATCTTCTCCCATGAGTTGATTTATTCCTGAATGTGAAAAAACAATAAATACATTAGTTTGTATTCTGCAGATGGCAATGATATGTACTGTCTGTAGTGCTAATTTAAATGCAATACCTTAAATAACTTAGACGAAAAAGAAATACTACGTTCAGGGCACAATTACCCGTAAATGCATGTTTGGACATTTCTTCAAAACTTATCTTGAATAACAATAATCACATCTTACGACGACACTTACCTAGGCTATACACAGATCATTCTTAAAAAGTTTAACATCTTTACCATAAATAGCTACGGCTATACACCTTTCCAAAGAACACTTGACCCTAGGGGCAACAAACCGTTTTCGAGCCCAGTCACTGAGTTTGGGGCTAGACTCTCACTGGCGTTTCTCCATACCCTAACCGAGTGGACTGTGATTTCAACAGGCGCAGCCTGCACAGGCACAGCTTCAAACGCTGCTGGCGGCTAAATTCTCGTATTTTCCCGCTATATTTTGTGTTTTATGGTACATGTATGTTCCCGAGGACATTGAGAAAGCATTGTGCCACCATTAAAAAAACAAAAAAAAAGCAAAAACCAAAAAAACTTAACTATTTTTGTTGGGTACGTGCGCAACAGAACGAATGCAACTGGAATGTATAGTTCTAGTTATTTGTGCGTTTTTTTTCTTACGATAAGTTTTGACGGTGCAGCGGGATTCGCCGCATGTGAAATGACAAAACGCTTTGCTGCCAAAAATAAATTACAAAAGAAGGGGGCCGAAAGCCATGCATTTTTTACGCTCACAAATGACATGTTTACCGATGGATAGGACATGGAAATACAGTTGAGGAAGTGTTAGCATTCGAACACTATATCGTACATACCACACGATGCAGCGTAATCCGAAAAGAATTTATTTGAGAAAGATCTCAAATAACACAGTCACAGTCGACGACAGTCACATCTTGACGATCGGACAGAATCCGAGACGACTTAGTTTTGGGGCACGTTTTGGGGAGAGCTTCCTTTTTTCACAACCGCACCAAGGCAAAGGAACAAACGCGACTGACCTGTTTCCCACCCCAACCCGGACAATTATTTTTGGAGAGGAGAGGACTGAGGATTCTACGCGGATTACCTGTAAGAAGAGGGAGAACAATGTTCGCAAAATCGCGTCAAGGGTCGTTCGACTCGCTTCATCTCCTTCGTTTCCCGTGTATGTAAAGCAGAAAAACTTGAATGGCAGGCATTTACCAGCCTTATTTCTCACAATAGAAGATAACACAAAAAGGGTATGCAGCACGCATAAAAAAAATTATGCGGATACTTTCCCGAGGGGCAAGAAAACGTTCAATGCAAAACCACAAAAATGTAGGTAGAGAACCGCGCTGAGCGGGTCTTCACAGTCCAAGGGAGTGGCAGAAAATCTCTAGCTGATAGAGGGCGCGAGAGTCACACCAGCCGCATCAGCATCAGCAACATGGCGGCGGCCCAGGAGCGATTTTCGGAAAGGTGTATAGCGCGCTTCAAGTATGGCACAAACGACTATCGTCGAAAAACTGTTGTCCTTCCTCGCCCCTTCGGGAATTTATTTCTTTAAAACTAAGCATGCCAGATGATTGAAATAAACGGCATTGTCTTTCGTAAGGAACGCAACACCACATGTGAAAATTGGAAAAACAAAATTACGAATGTACCTCACTGCTTGAATTCAAATGAAATCGTCCGCCAGTCTTTCGAAGTTCGATGAACGTCAAACTTTTACCCTAAAAGTTCGAAGTTCGTCAAACTTTTGAGATGTCAGGATTCGAAAATTCAAAACTTTTCTAATTCTCTTGATAAATAAGTTTGAAAGTTCAAAAATTATTGAATTCCTTAGAGTAGTAAATTGGAAAGTTCGAAAAGCTTTGAATTTTTTAGTGCAAGAAGTTCGACTAGCATTGAATTTTGCAGCGTAATAAGTTCTAAAGTTCGAAAAGGATTGAATTTTTAGCCTCATAAGTTCAACGGTTCATAAAGCGTCGAAATTCTTAGTTCAACGGTTCGAAAAGCGTCGAGCTTCTTAGTGTAACGAGTTCGAAAATTTGACTTCGTTCGAATTTTACAATATAGAAAGTTCGAAATCTTTCGAACCTTTCGAACCACTTGATTCGATAGTCGAAACTTCGATTCAAAAGAAGTTTGCTGCATCCCTAATCATGACTGGTGTCAGTGTGATGTGAAGGAACATACCTGGCAGGCTTGCAATTGCATGCGGTGTCCACACGAGCGACGTGCGCTCGGTGCCCGAAAAATCTGTGTATGACGTCATGACTAGTTGGAAGCTTTTCGCGTTACTCCCCCCCCCCCGTGTTCTGAGGAACCCAGTTCGGAGATCCACGGTACTCCAATTTATGCTCATGGGACTGTGCAAACAGTAACAGAGACAAGGTTGGTTTCGAGTGATACGAGGGGTGCTTGCCTGGTCTAGAGGAGCAGGCTCCGACGCTCGATTGGGCAGCTGGTGCATCTTGAAACGAAGCACCCTGTCTGTCCGTTTCCCCACAACAGCCGGGTGGAGCGGGCACCTGAAGCACTTCTTTCGGCCCATGGACACTCGTGCAGTTCGTCGGCACAACCCTGCGCAGGCACGGCGCCGGGGAGAGGTGGTCGGCTCGTCGCCCCACGTGCGTTATCTCCTCGTACCTGGTCACGCCTGCCTTGTCGCAGAACGAATTGCCACCAGATTCGCATGCGAACGGCTGCTCCCTGGTGTGGGAATGCGGGTGGTTCTCGACAAGTACGGTGGTATCGAACCGTCTTGAGCACATGTCACACCGGTAGGGGCTGGCGCTGTCACGGCACAGACCGTGCACGGTCAGCGAAGATTGCAGAGGGGACTCCACGCCGCACGTGCAGCACTGCAGCCGCGGCGGTTCAGTGTGGAGCGAGTGGTGGCGCATCGTGCTGTTCTCGTTCCGGTCGGAGAAGCCGTGGACGTCGTAGCTGAAGGCGTGGAAGCCCTTCGGCTTACTCGAGGGCTGGTCTGCAACAGCGCCTTCCTCGGGTTCTTGTGCGGCGTCAGCTGGGAGGGGGGCAGGAGGGGTGGGGGCGGAGAGATGAGGCTAGGATGAGTACTATGCGGAGAGCAAGTCGTCTGCTTCTTGCAAAGGGGTTGCGGTGATGTCAGAACAACACCGAGCTCCAATTGGCATTGCTTGGAAGGATAGTGGGTAGACCTCAATGCTAGGTGCACCTCAAGGTCTACCCACTTTTTTTCGATCAGCCAATAAGAGCTCCGCGTTTTCACATCATCGCAACCTCTGTGCAAGAAGCAAATGAAATTGAGCTCGGTACAGGAAGCATGCGACAAGGGTGGTGGCAGGACGGTGCAACTCCTAGCAGAAGCATTTTGCTTAGACATTTTGTGTAGCAATCAATGTTAGTTTCTAATCAGTGTCACCTTACCCGAGTACAGCACTACACAAAACGTTTGGGGCAACGGTCAATGCTAAATTTTTCTATAAAAGACCCAGAAATCGAGAACGGAGATTCCTTCAACTTAATGGCAGAAAAAAATCACAATCGTCTTAATCTGTATCCACTCATTCTGTCAGTGAGCAAAGTGCAATCTTAAAAGAGGGCCCAAAGATACTTCTCGTGCGATTTCCAATCCGTCGAATACGCAAGAGCTTTGTAGAGGCACAATCTGGCGCAAATAAAGAAAGAATAGGACAGTGTGTTGCCGTCGCAGCAGCTTAAAGCTGCTCGGGAAACGATGAAAGCCAAGACCCGAGCTATTCCCCCAGGTAGGACGACGCGAAACACACAGAGCAATGCTGGATGCAGAGGTGATTCTGAACGTCAAGGTGCCAAACTTTTACTCTGGAACGAGATTGTGAAACCTGGCCGCAGGAAGGTGCAGATGCGACTGTGAGATGCCGCGGGCGCATTAAAAGAGGTCGGAACGGGCGGCACTTCACTACGCGAGGGGACGCAGACGCAGTCTTTGCTAGTGCTGCCAATCGGTGGCCAAGGCGGAGAAGGATGGCCCTTTTAGGTGTCGCACACTCTCGTCAGCGACACAATTAGAATGACAGGAAGGTCCTTTGGTTCTCCCACCTCCAGTGCAAGCTTCATACTTTCGACGACGCTTTGCCATCTCGCGAGTTTTGAGCGTCCATGTGCAGCCAAAGCACAGCGCGGGGCAATGAGCACATGCTGAAGGCCGACTATAGCAGGAGGCGGTAACATCGGCAGTTAAATTGAGGCACCTCGACATTCGAAACATAGTGTAGTCGATTTTTCATTTTGTCCCGGTCCTTTAGGTCACCCATAGGGGGCGTTACATAAGGGGGTACCGAAGCATCAAAATATGTTCCAAGAAACACTAAAGAAAAGTAGAAAATGGTGGAAAGCTTGTTACATATCAAATGAGGCAGCGAGTATATAAAAAACTGGAAGGGCCCAGTTTGGTTACAAAATCGTCGGGGAACAAGTTCCTGTCGGAAACTGATTAATATCATAAAAAAGGTCTGAAGATGTTAGTTTTATCAAGTGCAGAACAGGCTCAGACAATGGCGTGATGCACCTTCCAAGACGTTGAGACGAAAATCTCTCCAACTCGGACTCAGCACCCAGAAATAGTGAAAGAATACCCAAGAGCTGCCCCCAAGCCCATGTGACAGCGGCGAAAAAAATCGGTGCAATCGATCACTGGATATGATGTGGTTAGCCGGGGTAATGACAGGGTAATGCACGAAACAAAAGAAATGAAAGCTAGTGTACATCAGATTTTTGGGGCGCACTGATACTGCGATTGTAAACTGCTCCCTTTTTTGCAGACGTATTAATGCAGTCGCCACGGTGCAGTGTGGTTTCTGTGGTGGCAGGTCATGTTTTTGTTCTTGCAGACGTCGTGGCCGAAGGCGTGAACACTTTTTGGCTGCATTCAGGTATTATCTTCGTAGGGGTCCTTGCCAACATCTTGTTCTTCGTCAGCAGGTCAGGGGAATGACATGAGTATTAGCGAGGGATGACATTAGCGCCGCACAAAGAGAGTTGCCTCGACGCTACGTTGGGCATGGCAGCGGTTCCAACATGGCAACTTGACAACGAATTGACACTTTGATAGATCTATAATGCGAGCAGAGTTGTAACTGCGGAATACTGCAATTGATGGCATGCAGCAAGCAGTGACAGTAGTGCTGAAGAGCATCCACAATAATTGTCTGTCTTTAGAGTTAATCTGTTCCGATGTGCAGCACCATATAACACACTCCATGCATGTACAAAACTCCCAGGCGCTAGTACTGGGTACAAGGGATATGCACATGTGCAGTGCCCTTCAGACGCAATACTAGCTCCTAGAACTGGAGACACCACAGTGATGCCAAGAGAGAAGCAGAAAACATTGGGAAGTCCGTGGTAAAACATACATGCAGGGGAAGCTGGTTGGTTTTTGCTATGGTTTCTTACATCCCACTATAATTGCAATGTGCAAAAATTACTGGCCCGTTTGCTTACTCAGTCACGAGCAGGACCTCCAATACCTGGCCACTCCAGTTCAGTTCTAACAGATCCCAAGCAACAGTTGTACACTAGCCAGATTTCTTACCTGCAGTACGTAATAGTGTTGCCATACTCTGGTAAATTAAGGTCACACTGTCAAAACATCTAACATCCACTAATTTGCTTTTTTCTAGAAAGACACCATCAGCAAAGGGGGAAACAATGAGCAATAAAAGTTTATTGAAACGAGTGCTGGCTTTCTTCAAGCTGATCAACACGACACAAAGTTTTGACCAAACAAATATAAAAATTTACGATCAGAGTCTCCCACAACAACAAAACGCATACGAAAGATCTATGGGCCAAGCCGGGTTCTTTTTCAGTGTCCAGATGGTTCTTCAAGTGGTCCTTTACATGGCACCACTTCTGGAAGGTAGCCGTGCAAAGGTGGCACTTGAAGCCACGTTCATATATGTGGTCCCTAGCGTGATCCTGCAGCAAGCCCCTGCACACAAATGCGAGCAGGCAAAGGTGACACGTAAACGCCATTGCCCTGTGACCATGCTCTTGGAGGTGGCGCAACAGGTCACATAGATGCTCGCACACAGAGTCACAAAAGGGAGACCTTAAGGGGCTCTCTTCTGCGTGCGCGGCTTGCCAGTGGTCCTTGAGGTGTTCCTTCTGGCCGAAAGGAACGCAATGCATCGGTAGAGTGCGCCGAAAGAGCTCTTTGCCATGCACGGGACACACCAGGGGACGCACGCCGACGTGGAGCCTCCTCTGCTGCATCATGCGGTTCTCCGCTCTGGGTGTCGTAGCCGCACATGCCGCACTTCAGGATGAGGAAACCGCTCGTCAGCTTTGGCTCCGAGGTCTTCTTCGACGAAAAGCGCTGTAAACAGAAAATTAACCCATCATCAGTGGACCTACAAGTTTCTTTCTAAAGTTACTTTTTAGGACCTCCTTGTGACTCTAGGGAGTGATGTTCACAGGATTGTAAGATGGAAAGTGGCCAATGGGTTACCACATTACCTCCTTCTCCAGTATAAATTATCTTGTTATGACGATGTAGGATTCTTTCTGCAATGCGACATGGTTAGGAGCACCTATCGACCACAGCAATTTTTTATACCTTTTCCCATTTTTTTTCTATGGTCCCCCAGTATTCAACTAGTGGCAACCCCAACTGAACAAATGATTCATTGCAAAGATTTAATTTTTTTTTGTTTATTCCTATTTTTTTTGTTAAAAAGCAGAACAGTAAGATCTTGAGAGAAAAAAAGTACTTCATGTACTTATTGAGGGAAGAAAATCAGCAAATGTGAACAAAAGCTAACTCCTGTTAGGTACATTGCGAAGGTGACACATTTATCATTGCGAAGGTGACACATTTATTCAAGGTACAAGTTAGCCAACATCAAAAACAAGAATTCTTAATCTCTTTAATGCAAGATACCATATTGGAGCACAGATTTACAACACAAGCACGGTAGTGACTCGTAAGCAATTATATAGAGTATTCTGAAGCGTGCTGAGACGCTCCACACCAACACCACTGAGCATTGCTCTCGGAAGAAAACAAAGGTTTGAGGTTACATGTCCACACAAAGTAATAGATGCATGGCAGACAAAAAAGCACTAAAACAAAAGTGACAAGAAACTGGCTCCGGCTACTTCACACTGTGACCTGAAACGAAGAGAAGCACCAAATGGAGCAACGATTTAACGCTCGAACATGTCAACAATTACCCCTCTTTCCGAACACGCACAAAAACACGGTATATCTATGGTATCGACAAACCACCAGTGTCTATGGGAGTAACAGCTGTGAATTACAATTATGCTGCTTGTCCCAAGGAGTCTCATCAAGCTGTCTTATAGCCTGATGAGAGCTTCTAAAGACTACCTAGACTACGACACTGTCACAACAGCCCAACACATGCCGACAGCCAAAGACAACACAAAGCCGAAGTGTGAACACAAACATGTTTCAATGTCACAGAAGTGCTGAAAGTTCCAAGCACATGTTATCAATAATCCCATAAGGCAGCAATACCACATTGTAGCAAGTTATTATGGCAGAATAACTTTGCAAGAGATAATCAGCAAATCTGTGGCGACCTTTTTGCTCTGCCCTCCGTTTTTCTTCTCTGACAGAAAGGGGAAAAAAGCATAAGCGTTAGCTCTTATAGCTATACTGTGGTACAGGGTAGGAGCGCAGTTCAGCACTTGGAAGCAGACAAATCGAGAAACAGAAATTTTGCCTGAAAGTTTTCAGCTTAAAGGGATGCTGAACTGAAATTAGGACCTCACGAAACAAAGCTGAAGTGATAGGTGGGACGCTCCAAAACCCAAAAGTATGACTCATACAGCGATATCTCCAATGGTTGGCCATATTTTAGGAAAAGTGCGCGACTGAACTTGGCCGACGAGGCCTGCAACGCACGTCATGTCACAATTCTCATTTACTCTCCTCTTCGCTTCGTCCCCTCGAGTAGGTGAACCGAAGCGAGGAGGAGAGAAGTGAGGCCACCTCCTTTCATTCTCAACCGTTCCAGGAGGGTCGTAACATCAAAGTCCTCGCTTGATCATGCCCTTAATTTCCAAAAATATGGCCAACCCTGCGAGATATCGATGTATGAGCGATGTTTTGGACTTCATAACATACTGTTCAACGCTTCTGCAGCCTTATTTCGCGAAATCCAAATTTCAAGTCAGCATCACTTTGCAAAGACCTAAGAACGGATACAGATAACTGCATTATGTGTTTCTACCCAAGACATTCAGTTGCCTTCGTAGCATAACAAAAAAATATAATGTACAAAAAATAGTGCATTCAAGACCGTCTTTCTTTGAACAGTAATCGTAGCTTCTCACCTCACTTGAATGCTGCTTCCATTAAATATTCTGCTCCAAGCAAGCGTGGCAAACATACCCTGCATGACCCCGTTTCAGATGCTACACCCGCATTACATTCTCAAGGTATACATTAAGCGATAAAAAAAAGGAAAGACAAGGCCATGCCGACTCGATGAGAGTTACGATTTCCCCTTTGCACGGGTGAAATGGAATTTCCAATTCGTGACTGGATCACGTCTTTTACGAAACACACAAGCCCCGAAACGCAACTCCAAGCGTGGAGAGTTAGTTTTCCGGTTCGAGTACGGTGCCCGAAACACGTCCCGGACCCGTGCGCCGGATGCACCGGCAGTTGCGTCATTGGTGCGACTTGGTGCGGTCTTGTACTGGCTCACTTCGCCCCAGCCCCATTAGCTCGCGTGCAGCTTCAGGTGGTCCTGCAGCAAGCGCTTGCTCACAAATGCGAGTGGGCACAAGGGGCACGCAAACGGCTTGTCCCCGGTGTGAGTCTTCATGTGGTGGACCCAGGTGGTCCTGTGGACAAACGTCTTGCCGCACGTCTCGCAGACGAACGGGCGCTCCCCCGTGTGGACGCGCAGGTGGTCCTTGAGATGCGTCCCGTACCGGAACCGGGCGCAGCACACGTCGCACATGTAGGGCTTGGCAGTGAGGTGCGACGGCAGGTGCGCTTCGAGCTGGGTGATCTGGGCGAATTCCTCGTTGCACACGTGGCACTGCAGGAGCTCGGGCTCTATGTGGTTCCTGCGGTGGCGCGTCAGGAGGTTCTCGTTTTGGGTCGTGTAACCGCAGGCGTCGCAGGCGAAGGTGTGGATGCCCGTCAGCCGCGACGCGGCAGCGTCCTCGTCACGGTCTCGCTCGTCGTCGGCTGATCGGGGGGAAGACGAGAAAGAAATGAGTGGGGACTTGTGTGTGACGCGACACGGGGTGCTTTGATGGAAATACAGTATAACCTCGTTACAACAAATCTGGTTACAGCAAACGTTCGGTTATCACGCACCAATCTGTGAAGTCTGGTTGGTCTTTCTATCTATGTTGTCGAGCCAACTTCGCCTATTACAGATTTTGTTATAACGTAAATTTGAATATAATGGACTACTATATTAGAGAGTTTGTAAGTAGTTCACCATTCAAGTAAAGCAAACTCTTTGGACTGTATGCGACTATGGTTCGGTAGCAGTCGAACCCATTTCACGAACTGCCATCGTTGTGCTCATAGCCTTGCAAGCCTCGTACGACCCAAAGCGCACAGTGATGACGATTATCAGTCCAGTTCAGTAAAAAATCAATACCTTTCAAAGTTTAAAAATTTCAATAAACCAGTTCTTTTTAATATCCATTCAGATTTCATCAGTCTCACAGAATAGAAAAGACTCCAGTCATTATCCACCTCAGAGTCGGTAGTAAGAGCATTTGCATTTTGCATACTCCTTTGCAACAGACCAAAATTTTCATCACTACCAAGGTCTGTTATAATGAGTTTAAGAGGCACTGGGATCCAATTCTTATCACCGCAAAAGCAAGTTCTAATTTGTATCCTCTTGGAGCATGCCAAGTTATTGATTGCAGATGGTTTGTCTGCTAGTGAAAGCGAAGAATAAGGTCTGTTTGGTTATGTACCATCAATTAGAGACTAAAATTCAATAGAAAAACACAGTAGCTCATCTGCATATGAACGAAAAAAATAGCAGATTTTTTTCAGCTATGAAGGGAATGCTGCGGACAAAATAGTACCGCCCTTTGCAAGTTGGTGACAAGTTCTCACCAAACTTTGCCCTATACATTTCAACCTCTATAGATCTTCAGAGATCCAATCTTGGGCCCTTATTGTACAACATATTTTCTAATGATCTCTCCGACTGTGTTCAGTTTTCTTAATTGTTGCAGTACGTAAGTTCACAAGGTAAATATATTTAGCAAGATTGAAGCCCACTGCGACTGCATGGAAATGCAGATTGATATCGATGCAGTCAATATGTGGTGCTCAATGATTTTAAGTTAAATACAAAAAAAAATGAGACGTTTACAACTTCCTGTAATGCCGAATTAGAGCGCAGCTCTTGAGGAGGACGGGAGGGTACAGAGAGCAAGGTATGCCCCTCCTCCACTCCTTCTCCCTCCTCCTCCCTCGTGACGTCACTCGTGAAGGTTGTGACCTTCATTGTGACCTTAACTGTGAAGGTCGTGACCTTCGTGATGTCACTCGTGACCCTTGTGACGTCATGCGTGACGTTATTATAGGAATTGTTCCATAAGACAATGCACGATTACAAGTGATGTCACATGTCACGTCGTTATAGGAAACGTCCCATAATGCAACACGCAATTATGCCGACGGCGACACCGCTCCAGCCGGAAACGGGCGCCTAAAGGCCCGTTCACACTCTTGCGACCGAGTACGACTGAGAGAGACGAGATCTCTTATAACTTCTTAAATGTTTTTAGAATGAGGGAACACACTGGCATTGTGGCGCCATCTATACGGTGACCCTGGAACCGCATTTCACAAGAGCGAAGGTTTTGCGGGATTTCCGAGGTCAAATGTGCGTAATACCCATAAAAAGGCTCGTTTATAACATTGACAAAAGTTTTTCGAGCCAAGAAAGAAAGGATAATGCGCGAGAAATAAAAAAAAATATGCCGGACCGCCGAGTTTACACTGCTTCCCAATAGATGGCGCCAGTGTTTTTTCTGGTTTGAGAAGTTTTAAGGAACCCAGGTTTAAGAGGTCGCAAGAGTGTGAACGGGCCTTAAGAGCTGCGCTCTAAAACCAACGTCGTAAACAAATAGTACATGCATATCCATGCATGCTCAACATGTCTGAAATAGAAAGAACATTCGCCATATGCGACCTTGGAGTGTTATGGGACTCTAGATTTGGATGGACTCGCACGTTAATGCTGAGATGGAAAGGTCTATAATATAATATGCAACTTAGATTTTTTTTAACTGGTATTTTGTATGTACCATATTTACACATAATGAACACACTTTTTTTCCCGAAAAATTTATACATATTTGAGGAGGGGGGGGGGGGGGGGGGGGGGTTCATTACACGAGGTAAAATTTTTGCATTTACACACTTCGTACAAATGTCATATTGGGTGCCAATATGACACGGCAAGGTACCGTGGCACGTCTCCAGTGATGGAGGTGCACCCACGGCTGGTCGGGGGCACGCCACAATAACCATGCATGCTTCATAAACTGTAAACCTTTTCAGGACACTTTCGGGGTGCCTTTTGCCAAAGAAAAAGCGCCCTACGAAGCTCACTGAGCACGAAAAGCAACATGACCGTTCTTAGGCGATATATATTGCCAGTATCCAGTGGGGACGCTCAGGTGTATCAGCGACTACGCGTATAAGAACTCGTCCAAAAGCCAACCCCCGACCTCCGAAGCCCGCTCGCACGAATCAAGTTTCGTTCACGGACGCAAGAATTCGTACGAAGTCCAACCACACCCGGAAGCCTGCTTGCACAGATCAGGTTTCCTTCACGGAAAGGCTACCAGACACTCTCAGCCCACGGCGCAGCGTGCACCTCGCTGTGTTGTTCTGTTATGGATTAAATAAATGCATTTGACCGGAGTAGGTGAAATTAGGCCTAACCACTTTCACGCTTTCACTGTCCGAAAGTGGACCACAAACGACGGCTTGTTTGTTGACATCAATGCATCCGCTAGGCGCAGAATGTCTGGGGCTCGGCAATTCCTCGACCCATGCTTCGTCAAGTGTGCGCGACACTCGGTTTCACGGTTGATCACTTCCGTAACTACCAGAACTATAGACCGTTCCATTAGGGTCATAGCAGAGAGGGTAAAAGAGAAAAAAATGCACAACCCCTCTCACCCCGTGTGTCATCCGCTCCGCCGAGTGGGCTGTAGCTAGCGTCCGGCTGGCGTGCAAACTCTGTTTAAAATCGCGTCATTTTGGAACTTCCAAGCGCAGATGCGCAGATTTTGGTATGCCAGTTGTTGTGTTATACTATGCTAGATAAGAAGACTCACAGGGTCTCATTGCGCTGTTACCTGCACGCAAATAAAAAGAAAAGTAGGAAAAACTGTGTTAGATTGGCCGGTCTCTTTGGCGAAAAGTAAATCCGGTTGCTCTACCTTTTTACTATACAAAGTTCGTACTGGTGTAGGCCTTTAGCGACCATTAGTGGAAGTCTGAAATAATAAATAAAACGTGCTCTCCTGCCTCAATACACGTAGTAGTTGGGTGTAGTACTGCCGGCTGACTCAACTGCTATTTAAGTAACGGAAAAAAGTTATGCTAGTTGGTCATTTAGTAAAATAGAACAACAGAGAGCTATAAGCTGATTTTGGAGTAGCCACAACAGCCACGAGCGAGAGTTCGATGTTCGGTAGAGCCCGCCGATACAGCCCAAAGCTGGAGAACGGCAACCTCCCGGTTTGTCGTCTGCTAGCGGAGTCGGGCGCGTGCCCTCTCTCTCGTTTTACCCCGCCGAACCTGCTGAACTTCCCGGATGTGTGGAGAGGGCGCTGCGGTCGAACAAAATGGTGCCGCCCAGAGAGCGCTAAATGGAATGGTCTATACACTTGCGGCCATTGCGACAACGGCTTGGCTTGGCTTGACTTGGCCCAACCGCTTGGTGGCCAAAGAAAACTGGATTTGTGGCTTGCTAAATTGGACGCAATTCGAGACTCGCGGATCCGGGAATGGAAGGTGCGTTTATTACAGGAGGGAAAAAAAAAGTCGAAATATTGATGCCCGTTGTGGGAAGTGCGTTTACTATGCGAGTGTATTTATAATGCGAATAAATATGGTATAAGGTTTGTGTGTTTGATGTGCGTGTGCCTCTCTTTTTCGTCTGCATTGTGATGCACCACGGGGAAGACATGTTGCTGTGGATGGGCATCAATATACAAACATAAAATACAGCCTAGTTGTGGACTCATAAATTAGTAAAACAAATTATGATTTAAACCTCACAAATACACTTAGCAGAAATCTGCAATGCTATTTCCGATCGGCAGCCGAGCCGAGAAAAAAAACCCATACTCTCCCACGACGAGGCCCCTCGACATTAGAAACGTCGACAAGTGGATAAAGCGAGCAACTGTTGTATACTATACAACATGCAGTAGTGTGTAAAATGGGTCTCAGGTTAATGGAAGCAATGCCAGCCTTCTTTTGCTCATTAACACCGCAGCTTGCATAGAGATTATACATACTAACTCTAGAGGAAAAGGTCCGCCATTTTCCCATGCATTCTGGCTGCCGCAAGCGGTGGAGCTTGCAGGCAGACCTTCGGGGTCCCACACATGGTTACCAACCAGCCTACGATTTCACAAATATAATTCTATCATCAGAGCAGTGTCATGAACTTCAACAATCCACGAACTTACCAGTGGAAAGATATTCACATTCCTTTCGAAGCTTTCTTTTTGCATAGCGCGCACATGTACGGCCTCCCGTAAAAACTAAACTAAACCAGATAACAAACTTCGCGGGTGGCCGCGGGTGGCCGCGCCCCAGGAATACGAAACCGAGCAACCACCAGATTTCTGAGATTTCAACAGAAGGAAAGTTAATGCAGCGTAATGAGTATACTGTTTTTTATAAGCGTTAGAATAGCTCAGAATTTAGTTTACAAAGTTAAATGATCACTGTCTATATTGATGAGAGTTTTCAGTCTTCGCGATTACCATTGCAACTGTTGTCCTTCAGCTGGCAACACTGGTTTCTTTCTCTCGTGTTCTGTCGCTCTCTTTCGCGATCTTTCACTCGGGACCCAGGATGTCGGTGCACGGGATTTGCCACTCCTCCTCACCCACCTTAACCCCCTTGCAGCTTGGGCTACGGTGTTAATGACAGCGGTGTTGATGAATGGCAGTGTTGAT